TAATTAAGTCAAAGTACTCGCACAACTTACCGTAACCTATGCTATCCGTTCACTTCGGTAGTGCTTACAAGCGTCTACGTATTTATGATTTGGAATATACTCTGAGAGCTTAACGAGAACCCAAGGTCCCAACCTCAGTTTCTGTAGCACCTCACTGACGCCAGTTTACTGTCTCTGTTGGTCAGTCACTCGCTCCTGGAGTATGATACAAGCGACTGGAACTGTTTAAGCCTGCGTCTAGATGACGAAATACCGCCCACTGCTTGGGCCTATTGTCAACTTGTCCAACCCAATTATCGCGCCCAGTGTCCTTAACCAGTTCTAGAGCTGTTCCAGCGCATATACTGCAGGATCATACTTAAGTGCAAAACTGAAGAAAGACTTGGGTTGCGGCCAGTCTAAGTGTGCGTAAACCGGCCACAGATAAGCGAGATCAACAGCGTGCTTCAGATGACAGTAGTATGTCCATTAACTACGGTGCTTCTCCATGGCCAGTGGACATGGGTGCAACTTGAATGAATGCATATAATACTAGTACCGAAACTAAGCCCCGAGAAAACGGGCAATAGTCTGTTGAGAACGGCTTATCTTAGATACCACGAGAGAAAAGTCCTGACCATGAGCTTGTCAGAATACTTACCTCAATTAAGAAAGCTCCGCGGAATCGCAGGGAAAATTAAGCCTAACAGTGCGGTTAGAATGTGGCGCATACAGACAAAATTAATTAACCATTGTCTGGCTTTTCTTCGATGTACTGAGCCCTTTAATGATTGATACAATGGAACAGAAGTTACAGAAAAGACGAACTGAGAGCGTCCAAACCTGGGTCTAAAACCTACATAGAGCTGTCGAAGCCTGTGCTGAACGACGGGATCGGGAAAGCATATACGATGCGACCAGGAGGCATTTATTAATGCCAGCGCAGATATTGACACTGACCTCAAAATAAACGATCTAATAATGGAATACTTTGAGACTGGCATCGTTTTCCCTCTCACGACTGATCGTTGACAACAACGCGTTTCTACGGTGACTGTTGCCCGCTATAAAATGACTGCTACTTTAAACAACATTGATTTCTGCCAGTGAAAATTTGTTTTCCGTAGAATCTCAGTAAAATATGACTGCGATCCCGTGAGTACAGCTTCCATCTATTTTAATAAGGGGTCCCAGATAGTGTAAGTAAGATAAGATAAAGATATTTCTTAATACTGTTAATATTCATCCAGCTCTTCGTCTGGATCAGTTGTTGTACAAAAAGCATATTATTATTAATTAATCCTTATGTCGTGCGTGCCACTACGCTCTAATTGCATTTTCGCTGTATGTTGTTGAAATTGACATTGGTTTTTTAAAGTGGAATCAGTTCCGTTCGTAGCAGAATTCATATATAACTGAAAATGAATTTAATACGTAAGGTAAGGTTATAGGCAGCAGCAGAAACATTCTTATTGTTAAACAGTTTTTTTCTGCGTACGTTTCCATTGTATTTAAATACACACGTACGCCTCGTAAGTGTGTATGTGTAAGTACGTGTTTATGCGATTTTGTTT